GTATGGACTCAGCAGTCTGTGTTTACGGACTCAGCAAAGTCTGTGTGTGTGTATGTATGGACTCAGCAGTGTGTGTGTGTGTATTTACTCAGCAGTGTGTGTGTGTGTGTGTGTATATGGACTCAGCAGTCTCTGTGTGTGTGTGTGTGTGTGTGTATGGACTCAGCAGTCTGTGTGTGTGTGTATGGACTCAGCAGTATGTGTGTGTCTGTGTATGGACTCAGCAGTCTGTGTGTGTATGGACTCAGCAGTCTGTGTGTGCGTGTGCGTGTGTGTGTGTGTGTGTGTGTATGGACTCAGCAGTCTGTGTGTGTGCATGGACTCAGCAGTCTATCAATAATTAAAATTCCTGTGAGTTGTTGTGTAGGAAGGGCCCCAGTGCATTGCTTTGCCCGGGGGTCCTTAACTCTGTTAAAATTGTACTGCTTGTGTGTGTCAGTGAGCATGTGTGTGTTAGTGAGCTTGCCTTTAGTGAGCTTGTGTGTGTCCCTGAACTTCTTTGTAGTGAGCCTCCTGTTTATACAAGTGAGTTTGTCTGTAGTAGGCTTGTGTGTGTGAGTCAGAGAGTTTTGTCTGTCAGTAAGCATATTTGCGCATGTCAGTGAGCTTGTGTGCTTACTGTACTATATTGACTTGTAGGAATAGCATTCATTTTTTTGCAGGGCTGCTTTGGATTCCCAGGGATTCCAAGTTTGGCTCTGCCAGCGAGTGCACTTTACCGCTGAATCATCTGTGTGAGCTGCCACACACTTTAGCCCTGTTACACGCGTCTGGGAGCTGCTGTTGACAGGTACTAGTAGTCTAGAGATTGGGACATGGGGTATATGCTCAGCTATCTGTATAATACAGATCTGTGTGTATATAATATCCCGGGATAGTCAGTGCTTCCTGTATAGTGCTGCTCTCTGTCTTGGGATATTATACACAAACAGACCTGCATTATACAGAGAGCAGCACTATACAGGGAGCACTGAGTGTCCCAATTTATTATACACACAACCCTGTATTATACAGAGAGCACTGACTGTCCAGGGATATTATACCCAGACAGTAATTGATAGCTGTGCTGCAAAATGTCCTTGGAAATTTTTGTCAAATGTTGGCAACTATGGAACTGTATCAAGAGTAATGTGTTTGTTTTTTAATAATCCCTGGTGGAAAATAATGAATCCTCCACCAGGGATTATTAAAAAAACAAAACACATTGTGTCGGGGGCGGGGCTTAACATGCAACAGGGGCGGGGTCAAACTGCGGCGAGGGCGGGGTTAAATGTGCTCCCCTACTTTTGTCCCTGGCCCTCCATGTGCCCCCCCTAAAAATGAATCCTAGAGACGCCACTGCAAGACATTCAAAAAAAGGAATAAGAAACACAAAAGGGAGTAAGAAATTAAAAAGGGGGGGTTAAGAGGCACACAAGTGAAGAGGCATTTTTGGGGGGAGGTGGGGCTGCAAAATACATCTTTGTATTGTAGCCAAAAATGATTAACTTAAAAAATAAACATCTTAAAATTGTCATGAACCATTTGCAGGTGATGTTTTTCATAGCAATGCTTTTTTTTCCCCTCTCAGGGATATTATGTGGTTATTATATATGGCTAAGCAAAAGTCATATGGGAAGTAGATACTATAGGAATTTATGTATTTGAAATTCTGCCTACAGCAGTAATATACGATTCACACCACCATTTACAGATAAAAGATAAAACCAATGCTTCTCCAAAACTGAAAGGCAAAGAACTATATACTTCCATCAAAGGATACGGGGTATTTACTATTCAGAAAGATTAAGCTATTTCGTTTTCTCTGAGCTTCTGCCCATTCACAGACTTCTTATAATGTGTATTTTTCCTGGAATAAGTTAATCTTTAGTTAGGGTGTCCAATCGATGGCATTTTGTGAGTAGGATTTCCACCTCTAAGTGATCTAAATACAAATGTTTAAAACCTTGAGTTTCAAAATACCAACTGTATGTGAGACAAAGACGGAACCTCTGTTATTTTGGTTTGACAATTATCATACGTTTAAAACCACATTGCACCTACCAATTCTCTCCTAACTCCACTAATGTAAATAAATTGAGGATGCAGTTACATGCATGTTTAAGTGTAGATTTCTGAATCTAAGGCATGAGAGTTAAATTTTGGATTGTGAAGATGGTTGACAATGTTTAGGTTATAGGGGAGGCAGTTAATCATTTGGATTCCAAGGATGGTTTTCAGTTATCATAAAAGGGGTCTGTTGCGCTTGCATATCACTGCGAGAATACAAGACTCTACAACAATAAATATCGTTTATGGCATTAGAGACATGATTATCTAACAAATACTATACAGGAACATGTCCACCACAGAGCAATATAAAGTTTACCTGAACGTGAGGAGACTGCATAGTGAGTTCCACTGCTTCTTTCTCTGCTAAAGCAACCATGGACAGTCGTACTAGGTTCTGTAAGATCTGCTCACGGGATGCTTCTTCTGCACGCTTGGAACGTCTCAGAGTTGGAGAGGTGGCTGGTGAGAATTCACCATTGTTGTAAAGCAGGGGTTCAGAAGAGACAGGGTCACTAATGAGTCTCACTTGGGGGCTGCCTGGGTTCTTTAAGGTTTTGGAAGCAGGGAGAGTGCTGTGAAAGTCTTGAAGATTCTCTCTAGAGTAACTTCTTTGTCTTTGGTACTGCAGTGTCCGGCATACAGAAGGAGGCAAAGAAAAAGATTCCTCCAAGTCCTGAGTGTCTTCATGAAAAATGTCATGATTATGTTGGTTCCTTAGAGTACGGTAAAGAGTAGGTGTTAGGTGAAAAGGCGTAGTGAGGGAATCATCTTCTGGAATTTCTTTTAATTCATCTGATGCAACAAATGTTTTGGTAGTGTCAGGTGGAGTTCCAGCCTGTGGCTGTCTTCCTCTCATCACGGGAACTACATGGATGTCACCCTTCTGAATCAGTCTTTGGGGCCTTTTTGGCTGATGCCTGTAAGCAGACTCTTCTTTCCTGCAGTTGTAGGCTCTGTTATCTTTCCTATCTACTCGACAAAAAGACATGACAAGAGCCAAAACAAGAAGACACACAGCCAGAAGAACTGCCAGGCAGATAACAATCACCATAGATAGGCTTAATTTTCCACTAGATCCATTAGCTGAATTTTTTAAGTGGTCCAAATGACTACTAAACATGATGGTCAATAAAGCTTTGGCTTCTAGCTGAGGGTTTCCATTATCTCTAACAATGACCTCCATATCTAAAGCATTTCCTATAAGGTGACTGCCATTGCTTACATTTGCATATATAAAACCCAGATTAGTGTCTATAGCAAATAAACCATAATGATTGTTTGCTAGATGATAGAGAAGTTCAGCATTTTGATTTGAATCTGCATCTGTGGCTACTACGTGAAGAATCTGGTGCATGTTGTGATGAGATAGGTCTGCTGCAATTTCATGAGGTCCTGCAAAGCTTTTTCCAAATGTATAGTGTTTTCCATCCTGTGAAATTATCTTGTCCATGGAGGACAGCAAATGACCAGTTTCTGCATTCACCAGAATAGTGATAGTTGCACGTCCACCTTTTAGAGGGGGTTGTACAATTACTGGTTTGTTGTCATTTTGGTCTTTCAGAAATACTCTGACTGAAATATTACTGTTCAGTTTTGGGTGGCCATTATCATGTGCCTGGACAAGAAATTGTATTTCAGACATTTGTTCATAATCCAAGGTTTTCAAGGCAAATATATCCCCACTACTGGAGTTAATCGAGACCCAACTCGAGGCTGGAGTTCCTGAAATATAAGAGTCAATAATACTGTATGTAACTTCAGCATTAGCACCCAAATCTATATCCTGGGCATGTACTTTAAGTAGATGGGTAGGTATGTGATTATTTTCCATGAGTGAGACTTCATAGCTGATCTTTTCAAAAATTGGAGGGTTGTCATTAGCATCACTAACACGAATCTTTAATGATTTCATGGATGTAAAGGTTGGGGTTCCTTGATCTTGTGCTTGGATGGTCAGATTGTATTCCTCCCATTTCTCTCTATCTAGCAAAGCATTGGTTTTCAAAATATAACTGTTACCATTGGATTTCTGTAACTTAAAATGGCCATGTTCTTGTAAAAGATGGCAATGTACCTGACCATTGGCACCTGAATCAGGATCAGTGGCCATTACTAGAGCTACAAAACTTCCCAAAGGAACAGCCTCTGAAACCACAATTTCCTCAGAATTTTGAGAAGCAGATGTGACTTGTAAATTTGGTGCATTGTCATTGACATCTAACACCTTGATCAGTACCTTGCAGTGAGTAGGAATAGGATTTGGACCCATATCCTTTGCTT